AGTATCTTTGCCAAGAAAATCCCAAATGGAGTTGGACATGACTGAAATGATTAAACAGTAATAGTAAAAACATGTCTACCCTTACTTAATTCCTCTGTCCCTGCTAACTATCATCCTATATCTCTTTTGCCCTTTGTGGCAGCTGAGTGGAGCAGTGGATAGAGTACTGGCCCTGAAGTCAGGAGGGCCTGAGTTCAAATCTGGTCTCAGACACACAACACTCACTAGCTGTGTGACTCTGGGCAAGTCACTTAACCCCAATTGCCTCACCAAAAAAAAAAAAAAAGAATGTCGAAAAGGCCATCTACAATAGGACCTTCCACTTTCCCTCCTCTCACTCTCCTCTTAACATCCGACCTCATCACCACTGGAACTGCTCCCTCCAAAGTTACTAATGATCTCTTAGATGCCAAGTCCAATAACCTTTTCTCAATCCTCATTCTCCTCAACCTTTCTGCAGCCTTTGACACTGTGGGTCAGTCTCTCCTTTGTGATGCTGTCCTCTTTCTAGGTTTCAGAACACTCTCTCCTGATTCTCCTCCTACGTATCTGACGACTCCTTCTCTGTTTCCTTTGCTGGATTCTCTTCCAGATCACATCCTTTAACTAGAGGTATCCCTCAGCATTCTGTCCCAGACTGCTCTTCTGTACTACTTCAGTTGGTAATCTCATCAGCTCCCATGGATTTAATTACCATCTCTGTGTTGGTGATTCTCAAATCTACCTTCGCTGCCCTAATCCCTGCTGACCTCCAATCTCAAATCCCCAACTGCCTTTCAGACATCCATAACTGGATGTCCAGTAGACATCTCAAACACAATGGGTCCAAAACTGAACTCATCATCTTTCTCTCTAAGTCCTCCATTGCAATCCTCCATATTACTTACTGTAGAGGGCAACACCATCTTCTCAGTCCCTCAGACTCACAAAGTGTGAGTTGTCCTAGACTCTTCACTATCTCTCACCTCTCATATTCAAGCTGTTAACAAAACCTGCTGAGTTTGCCTTTGCAGCATCTCTCGAATATGTCCCCTTCTCTCCTCTAACACTGCCACCCCCTACTACAGACCCTCATCACTTCACTCCTGGATTATTGCAAGAGTCTGTGTGTGTGGAGGGGTCCTACCTGCCTCAAATCTCTCCCCACTCCATCCATCCTCCATTCAACCACTAAAGTGATTTTTCTAAGGCACATTTGATCATGTCACCACCTTACTCAGTAAACTCCAGGGCTTCCTAGTGCCCCCAGGAACAAATACAAAACACTCTGCCTGGCATTGAAAGCCCTTCATACCCTAGCTCCCTCCTACCCTCCAGTCTTCCTACACTTGACTCTCCAACACATACTCTTAGATCTCATGACACTGGTCTCCTGGTTGTTCCATGAACAAGACCCTCCATCTCTCAGCTCTGGGCATTCTCTCTGCTGTCCTCCATGCTTGGATTGCTCTTCCTCCTTCACTCTGGCTCTCTGGCTTCCTTTTAAGTCCCAACCAAAATTCCACCTTCTATAGGAAGCCTTCCCCAACCCTCTAATTCTAGTACATTTCCTATGTTATTTATTTCCTATTTATCCTGTATATAGATTGGCTTGCTTTGTATATATTTGTTTGGACTATTTAGATTGTAAGCTCCTTGAGGGCAGGGACCGTCTTTTGCTTCTTTTTGTATCCCCAGCACTTAGCACAGTGCCTAATATATAGTAAGTGCTTAATAAATGTTTATTGATTGATATTCATGATGTATACAAACTTTGAAAGACATAATTTTGGGGCTATCATTTTATTAATTATGGCCAGCAAACATTAATAAAAGGATGTCATTTGGCCTTCTCTTGTAAACCAAAGATGAATCAATGCCTATATTCTCTTGGAAGAGTGGGTGTTCCTGACAGGCAGCAATCAACTCTGACTGGTTAACAATTAATGAGAAAATGAATATTATAATGAGAGGTAGACCTATTTTAATGAGGGGCTGGGGAACCTGACTGATTATGTCACTCTTGCTCCCAGACCACCCCAACTCCAGACAATCTAGGGCAAGGGAATCTATCCTCCTCCCCAAAGCTTGCCTGAATAAAACACAATGGGCCAGAATTTATCTAGATTGGATTCTTTTTACTCTTTTTGCTAAACTTCCCCAGTTGGATGGGGTCTCAAACAAGATTGAAGAGAACGTTAAACCCAATCTCATCATCAGCCCTGTTTTTCAGGGGTAACCTACAAAGGGCTGATTTCTGAATGAGGAAATAGAAAAGGGAAACTCTCAATCTCAATTAGTAATTGGTTATTAATATGAGAGAAATAATCATTTCTCTCAAATTGATTAATAAATGCTTGTTGGGCAAGAGGGTTGGCATAGTGGATAGAGCACTGGACTTGGATTCAGGAAGACATGAATTCCAAGTCCTACTTCAGACCCTGCGCAAGTCAGTTAACCTCTCAGTCTGTTTCCTCATATGTAAATGGGACTACTCATACAATCTGCCTCTCAGGTTTGTAGTGAGGATTAAATGAGATAATGTTTATAAAATGCTTGCAAATCTTCAAATGCTGTAGAAATACTGGCTGTTGTTATTGTTGTTACTGTTGCCTGGCAATGAGATAAAGGAGGCAATAAATGTAGAACAGAAGGATTGATAAGAGAAGTCAGGGTCCAGTCATGAGTCTGGAGTAGGTCAGATCAATGTGTTTTGTGTTTTGTCCAATAGCTTTGATGTAGGAGTAGAGAAACTGGATTGTGGGTTACCAAGGTATGAAGATTCACAGGATGGTTATGGTGGGAAGGGGGGGTGGAGAAAGAAGAAGAGGTCATTGGAGACCAAGAGGTTGAGTAATTGAGAGGTGGAGGGGCCAGGTGTGAATATTGAAATCACTGGGGAGAGGAGTCTTGGGATGGGGTAGAGATCACGAATAAGAAGATGTTGGACTCATTGAAAATGTTGGGAGAATGAATTAAAAGAGATGCTTCTACCACAGCAACAAAGCTTCATTCTTCCAAAATATGTACCCAGCACTGTGCTAGTCACTGGGTATACAAATGCAAAACCAAAACCATGCTTGCCCTCTTGTTCTATTGGGGGAAAACAAGATGAACACAGATACATGTAAACAAAACATATGCAAAGTAGTGTCGGAGAGAGAGAAACCAGGACACTAGCAATGGAGGGACCCAGCTATACTTCTTGTAGGAAGGGACAGACCTCGAAGGGAGTGGGGGCGGTGTTCTATGAGGTGGAGGTAAGGAGACAGAGCATGGAGGACATCTGGAAAAAGGCATGGAAGGGGAAGATGGGAGAGGGAACATAACATACAATGAACCACTGGGAAGAGTCTGAATAAATGAATAAATGAAAGAAAAAGCATTGTTAAGGACATCATGCTAAGTGCTGGGGATGCAAGTACTAAAGCAGAGGTGGAGAATCTGTGGCCCTCTAGGTCCTCAAGTGCAGCCCTTTGACAGAGAGGCTTTTTGTTTCAGAAAGTTACAGGGATGGTGAGTGGAGCCATAGAAGAGTAGATTAACACACTCTTCTCAGCAGCAGTGGCAAGACTGATTTAAGTATTGGCAAGACTGATTTAAGTATGACTCCAGATCTGGACAGCTGTGGGTGAGGGGGAGAGTATTGGCATGACAGTTGGCAGAAAGATGGCAAGATGGCCAGGGAGTAAAGTGAAGCGTGGCAAATGAGGACTTTGTCTTGTCTTTTGCCTTTTTCTTTTCTTTTCTTTCTTTTTTTTTTAATTTTTCTTTTCTTTTTTTTTTTTTGGTAGCCCCAGTGCTTAGCAGCAGGCCTGGCATACAGTAGGTGCTTAATAAAAGCTTGTTGATGTGACTTGACTTAGCTGAAGCCTCCCTAAACATAGGGGATCATATGAGGGATAAATCTGGAAAGGTGGACCATGGTCAGATTGTGAAAGGCTTTCAAAGCCAGACAGAGGCAGATGTTTATTATCTGGCCACAGAGAAAAAAGGAGAACCAGTAGAAGTTTTGGAGGGCAGGGAAAGGGAATGAGGAGTTTAATCAAAATGGATTGAATGGATTTAAAAAGTGGGAAGGTGACTGAGGAATGGTGGTAGAGAGAAGGTCTGGAGGCAGCAGGGCCAAAGGAGGGGTGAGTCTGCCCATCCTCCTGGTGCTCTGAGTCAGGCATAGGCATGGCCGCCACTGGGGAGAGCTGCTGCCATTGGGGTGTGGTGTCCTCAGGATGGAACCAGGAAAGTTTGAGTGAAAAGCAAGGAGAGAGGAGGAATGTAGTTTGGAAAGTATGAGCATGGGGAGAAATAGGGCAGGGGTTCCAAAGAACATACTAAAATGCTATAGATAATGAGTGAACCAGGTTACAGTCAGAATGGGGAGATGAAGGACTCATTCGAAAAGGTGAGAAATCTTGCTATGGTGGTAAGGACAGGACCTTTACACCTTGGCATTGAGATCAGATGACTGGATTAGGAGCCTGGCCAGCCCTGACCTTTTGTGTCCTAATGTCCCTCCCAGCTCGGACATCTTTTGTTCCAAGGGCCCTCCCAGCTCTGACATTCTAGGTCCTAAGATATATAGATAAATAGATAGATAGATAGATAGACAGATAGACAGATAGATATAGATATAGATATATAGCTGTATGTATATATATGTATGTATGCATATATATGTATATATATCTAGCTGTGTGTGTGTGTATATATATATATATATTTTTTTTTTTGAGGCACTTAGGGTTAAGTGACTTGCCTAGAGTCACACAGCTAGTAAGTGTCAAGTATGTGGTCTGAGGCCAGATTTGAACTCAAGTCCTCCTGACTGTAAGGCCAGTGCTCTATCCAAGTCCTAAGATAGTTTCAAGTCTAGTATAAAATACAAACTCATCTGGATTCTCAAGGCCCTTGCAACTCTGGCATTTGGTGGTTCTGTGAATGGGGTGGGTGTTTTAAAAAGGCACGAGTGTCCCCATATGTTATGTTCCTACAAATGATTTCCTCTTCCTCTGGTCACACAGGGAGCTCAGAGCCATCCATCCCTTCTAGACAGAGAGAGTCCTTGGACCACCCCAGAAGTGAGAGAAAACGCCAGCCTTGAAAAGGGTCTAGGCACTTGGGAGGAACCGGCAGACACAGAAGCTCCTAACAAGATGGACCGAGTGACCAGGTACCCCATCTTAAGCATTCCCCACTCATCCAAGGTCAGTGACCTGCCAAGTGACCAGGAAAGCCACTACACCTTTGACGTTGTTCAAGTAGAGTCGGTGTCTCCGGGCTGGGACGAGGACTTTGTTAGAATGAATTCTGGTGGCCAAAGCTTCATATTTGGCCCAGAGGAGACGTCAGGCCTGAGGATGATGACTGTCACTCAGGAAACTGTCCCCATGCCCCACCTGGTCAAGGAGACGCAGCATGTCCTGATTGAAAACTATAGTGTCAACCAGTGGAACCCTTCTTGGGAGCAAAAGTCCCAGTTAGAGGTGGTGGAGACAGGACCTACCTACACCCTCCGAGCTTGCCCAGAGGAGCGGCACCCTGGGAAGTTGTACTCTGGAGAGGACGAGGAGAAGGAACAGCAGCTGTACCACCTGGGCCCTGGTGAAGACGTCTTTCCAAAGAGGAGGAAGGATTTAGAACGGGAGCGAGAGGCGGTCATCCGGGGCCAGGTGGTGAAGAGGAGCACCACGGTGGCCACTCGCTGGAGCTCCCAAGAGGAGCTGGATAAGATCTACTTTGGCCAGGACCCCTCCCCCACCTCAGCCTCTGACTCTGAGAATGTCATAGATACCGAACAGATTAACTTCCTGGCTGCCCGCAAGCAGTTCATGAATTTAGAGAAGTTGACCTTGAACTCCCAACCCCCTCAGAAGCCCATGGGAAGGACCATGCAGAGCACAAGGGCATCACCCGAAGTAGGCCCGGCTAATGTTGGCCAAAGCTCCAGATCCTGTTGGTCTAGTAGGGTTGGCCTGACCAACGGTTCCATCACAGGCCAGGGGAAGGACGGTGCTGAGGGAGCTAGGCCCGGCCTGGCTCTGGCCCCGACCTCCTATAGCCGCTCTGTGAGCCAGTTATCCTGGGCATCTGTTGATGGTGCCCAAGCCCTGGGCTCTGAGGAGATGTCACCAGAATCGGTTCTTCCTGATGAGGGGCCAAAGGAGACACCCATTGAGAGAGAGATCCGGCGGGCTCAGGAGCGGGAGGCCGATCTCCGGCAGCAGCGGGGGCTGCAGCGATCAGGCAGCCGGGATGAGCTGGTGGAGGTCCCGGCCAGGCCGCTGTTGTCCAACATAACCCTGATCACTTCCACCCCCAAGAAAGTGAAGGAGATGGGGCGGCCATCATCCTTGTACATACAGAGAGAGATAGCCCTGGACACAAAGCGTGAGGAAGACTACCGCCGGCAGGTTGGGCGCTCTGAGCCCACCAATGATGCCACTAGAGCCTCTACACCATGTCAGTTGGCCAGAGACTCAGAGATCCCCAAAGAAGCCCCCGAGATGAGACGAGTGCAGAGCTCTGACTCCATTCTGAGTCTGACTTCAGACACCCACCCAGTGGAGGCCACCCTGGAAGGAAGGAAGATTAATCGCATTCCATTGGAGGCCTACCAGCCTTACCTGGGCCCACATAGCGCTAAGATGGAATTCCCATCTTATTCTTCCTACAAACAGGCTTCCTCACTGGGCTCCGGGTACCACACTATGGGCTCCGGGCAGGAGGAAGGTGTGGCCACACCTCCACCCTCCTCACAGAAGGCATCCTGGGATGGGGAGCAGATCAGGGAACAGCCATGGAAGTTGCAGGCCTCCACCATTCAAAGGCAGGAGGCGTGGAGGTCACCACACCAAGAGTCCACTCGAAAGGCCTGGGATGCTCAGCAGCAGGATGCTGCCAATGCTAGCCAGGGTGTGGTGCCTCGAAGCTACTTCTGTTTACAGCCCATGAAGGCCAAGGTCAGCTGCTCCCCTGAATCAGAGGAGGTGAATGTTCCCCAGCAGGACCGTGCCTGGGAGCCCAAGGGCCGTGTTGAAGAGGTGGCCATCCACATCAAGCCTCTGAAGTCCCAGTCCTCGAGCCTTCTGGAGATGGAGATCCAAAGTGTCCTGCAACGGGAGAGGGAACTGGAGGAAGAGCGCAGGAATGCCATGTTCCCAGAAGTCTTCTCCCCTGCTACAGAGCTGGACCAGTCATTCGAATGGGAAAATCCAAATTCTAGGTACTCATCTATGGCTTCAGGTGAGGAGCAGGCCTTGTTCCCAGTAAAGCATTAGGCATCATCCCCCAGGCCTGAACCTTCCCCATCAGGAACTCCTTTTATCCCCTAACTTTTCACTCTGGTTTCTGCCTTTCCCCTGCATTTCAGCTACCCCCCATTTCCTGTTTCCTTCACATTCTCTGTTTTCCTGAGTTCTGTGGGTTCCCGGCTCACTTTTCATTGTTTCCTCTCAACTTCAAACACCTAGAGTGCCTTGTGCCCGGTCACTTTAGTTTTGTGACATTCTTGTTCTCAGGCTTGGGAAGGGAGATGTCTGGGCTTAGTGTCTGTGTGTGCGTGTGCCCATGGAAACGTGCAACAGGAGACAGCATCCCTGGATTCTGTTAGGGGCCCTTTCATGTATAAACTATAGGAGCCCAAGTAAGGTCCTGCCTCTCTCTCTCAGCTCCTCTACTTCCCTTCAGAAAAATCAGCCTTTCCCAAGACTGTGTTAGGAGAGCCTGTCTGAGTCCAGGTAGGCAGCTGCATCTCTCTGTGCCTCTGTTTCCCCCTTCTGTAAAACCAATTTCTCCTGAGACTGGTTAGGAGGGTTTGTGTAGGAGTAAAAGGGTAAGACCAACTATGAGTTTTCCTTCGCTAGGTGGCACAGTGGATAGAGTGCCAGGCTTGGAGTCAGGAAGACTCATCTTCCTGAGTTCAAATCCAATCTCAGATACTTACTAGCTGTGTGACCCTGTGCAAGTCACTTAACCCTGTTAGTCTCAGTTTCGTCATTTGTAAAATGAGCTGGAGAAGGAAATGGCAAGCTACTCCAGTGTGTTTGCCAAGAAAACCCTGAACGGGTCACAGAGAGTCAGACACAACTGAATAATGACAAAGTGGATGAGGAGGCAGTTAGATGGCACAGTGGATAGACCACTCTGCTTAGAGTTAGGAAGACGTAAGTTCAAATATGACCTTACCAACTTTGTGACCCTGGGCAAGCCACTTAACTTTTGTCTGCTTCAGTTTCCTCAACTGTAAATGGGATAATAATAACACCTACCTCACAAGTTGTTATGAAGACGAAAAGAGATAATATCTGTCAGTTGTTTAACACAGTGCCTGGAACATAATAGGAGCTTAATAAATACTTTCTTCTTTCCTCCCTCCTTCCTTCCTTCCTTTCTTCCTTCCTTCCTTGGAGTAGACTTGAAGACAGGAAGCTGTCCTCGCCTCTCAGGGTCTACTTGCTAAATGTATGACCCTAGGCAAATCACTTCCCTTCTCCTAGACTCAGTTTACACCACTGGATTGCTAGAAAAGGGATGCTTTGTAAACCTTAAAATACTGCAGAAAGGAGAACTAGTGTTATTATTTTGGCCTCATTCCCAGAGGATCAACTCGAGAGAGGTGTAGGGTGAAAAGGGAGAAATCTGCCTACAACAGTACTTTGAGATCTTGGCTAATCTCAGTTCCTCCTACGTGTCTGCTGCAGGTATCACAGGAAGCTACTCTGTGTCTGAAACGCCCACCTTCTCCCCTGTCCACTTCCACTCAGGCTTGGTGTGGAAGGTGACAGAGCAGACACCCGGACAAGGTGTGCGCTGGAGGACGAAGAGGGATGGAGGGGTAAGTTGTAAGCAAGGAGAGGCTTTTCCCTGCTTTACCTCTCTGGCTTGAGAATTGCTTCCAGTGTGCAACCACAAGGCTTCTTTCTTAGCTTGCCAGCATCTGTGCTGAAAGGAGTTGAGGGAAAGGCTCAGAGCTGGGGTTTCTTGCTGACCTACCACCTGGTCAACCATCTGTCTGTGCCATGGGGATGGCTCTGGGGAGAGGAGAGTCTGGGGAAACCAAGAGCCCCCTCAGGGCTGAGGGACATCTCCCTGGGCCTGAAACCTCTGTTTGTCTCCCCTACAGTATGCAGGCCTGGACACATCTGATGCTGTTAACACAGAGGTAAGTCTCACTCTCCACTGGTGTAGTACCTAGGCTATGGGAGAAGGGAACAGAGACCAGGGTGCTGCCTTGGGTTGGAGTACCAAGATTCATCCACCAGCTTCCCTTTGACTTTAAGGACAGTTTCTCCAGTAATGGACCTTTGCCCCTTTCATTCTTCTAATCAATCTCTCCCTCAGCTTTCAGAGCCTAGAGTCACAGAGAATCATTGTATTTAGGATTAGAAGGGATTAAAAATGACTAAATTCCATTTCACAAAAAAGCGGGAAACGCATGGAGAGAGAAAGTAACTTGCCTAAGATCACTGAGCCAGCAAGTAGTGGAACTGGGATTGGAACTCAGATCTTCTCAGCTCCAAATCTAGTACCTTTCTACTACATCAACATTATAGAAGGCAGTAAGAGGGCCCGACCTCCCCGTGTGAGGACCGATCAGGCCACAGACTGAAGGAGATGACCTGAATTGGTGGAAGGAACCCTGAGCTGGGAAGCAGGACCCTGGCATTTAAATACCAGCCCCAAACTTACTGTGCAATAATAAACAATTTTCTGCACCTCTTTAATATGTGGGACTTAGACTGGGTCATTAAAGGTCCTTTGAACTCAACAATTCAAGAATCAATCCAAGATTGCAGACTCAGATATCTTGGCTCCTTCTGTGCGGTTTCTAGCACCGGCCTCTTCCCTTCCCTGGCTTGTGGAGAAGTTCATATTTTTATTATCATTGTTATTATTACTGTTATTGTTATTACTCTTCTAGCCTCTTATTAAGGCATTTACTAAGTGCCTACTATGAACCAGGCCCTGTGCTAGGTTGAGGACTCCTTTCTCCCCTCCTCCTCTACCCCAAATGCTAACCTTCCCCCTCTCACTGACTCTGCTCTTCCGTCCTCTCTCTTGCAGATTGTGGAAGCCACAAAGGTGACCCGACATAAGAATGCTATAGCTACTCGCTGGGAAGCTGGAATATATGCCAGTGAGGAGGAAGACTGAGCCCCCAAGTCTAGGCCAGGCACACGCTAAGCGATAGCCAGCGTAGAGCTAGGGGGAAAATGGCGCCCAGGCCTTCTCTCCCCACCTGACTATCCCTCCCTATCCTAAAACAAGATCCTACCATCAATCAGCAAGTGGCTGGTGGAGGGAGTTGAAGGCATGTAAAGATTTTCCTCCTTGGAGACTTGTTTTTATATAATCAAAGAAGCTAAAATCAGGTGGCGATAATATGGAAATATGTTTTGCATGACTACACATGTATAATCTATATCAAATTGCCTGCCTTCTCATGGGGGAAAGGAGAGGGGAGCGGAGAGAGAATTTGGAGCTCAAAATTTTAAAAAGTGATTGTTAAATAATTGTACATGTGTAATCTGTATCAAAGTGCTTACCTTCTCAAGGAGGGGGAGGGGAAGGGAGGGAATCTGGAGCTCAAACATTATAAACAAATGTTAAAAGTTGTTTTTACATGGAAATGAGAAAAAAGTAAAAACATTCTTTAAAAAAATGAATGTTAAAAATTGTTATTACATGTAATTTGAAAAAATATAATTTTTTAAAAATCAGGTGCTGAAATCAGAAGGAACAGATATACGTGTATGTGTGTGTGTATGTGTGTATACACACACACACACATATATATATATATATATATATATATTCATTTTTTTCCTTGCAGTTGAGTTTTTTCACTTTTTTTTTTTAAGTTGAAGGAATAAAATGCCTGTTGATTTCCTCTTTGCACAGAGGATTGCCTACAACCTTTGGTTCCACTGGGCTCTAGTTATGCTCTGCCGCTGACTTGCTGTGTGACCTTGAGCAAATCTCTTTTGCTCTCTGGTCTTTGGTTTCCTCATCTATAAAATGTAAAAGTTGTACTAAATACTCCCTATAGTCCCTCTTAGCTCTGACATTCCATGTTCTAAAATCCCTTCAGGCGCTTATACTTTGCTCCAAGGGCCCTCCCAGCTCTGACATTCTACATTCCAAGATCCCCCCGGCCCTAGCTTTCCATGTTCTAAGGGTCCTCTGAGTTCTGAAATTCCATGTTCTAAGGGCCCTCCTGACTCTGACATTCCATGTTCTAAGAGCCCTCCCAGCTCTACATTTTCTGTGTAGGGAGCTGCATGCCATCTACCAGTGCCTTCATACATCTCCCCATCTTCTAGTTTCCTTACATGTCCTAAAGCTAATAGGATAAGGTGTTGTTGTTCATCCTTCATTTTCAAAGAGGACCAATGACATCACGGAGTGATGTCTTGACTTTCAAGCAAATTGGTTTTAAGTGAGGCAGAGTCAGGACCAATCAGGTAGGTCAGGATCGCTTCTGGAATCCTAGAATCTGAGTGCAGAAGGTGCTCTGATGCCATCTAACCCATGCCACACTGAGAAAGGAATCCTCTCTCCAAAGTCCAAGACAAGCAGTTATCCAAATTCCACTTGGGGAATTCCCCCAGGGAAGGGGACCCTGCTGCAGCTCATTCCATCTCAGGACAGCTCTGATTGTTAGAAAGTTCTTTCTTACAGCTAACCTTATGGCAAACTGGCTTCTCTGCCCCTTCTCTCTGGTGCTCCTGGTTCTACCCTCAGGAGCCAAGAAGAACAAAGCTGAGCTCTTCTACTCGACAGCCCTTTGGATAGTGAAAAGCAGCTGTCATGTCCATCCCCATGCCTCAGTCTTTTCTTCTCTTAGGCCAGCCATCCCCAGGTACATTAACCAATCTTTTTGTACAGCACATGGGCTCTAGTCACTTGAACTGTCCTGGTCACTCTTGTTTGTATCAGTCAATGTCCTTCCTAAGTATGGTAGCCAGAATTGGGTGCAGTATCCTGTATACAGTCCATCATGCTCAACAGAATGCAAGTTTCTTGAGGCAGGGACCATTTTATTTTTGTCTGTTTTATCCACAGTGCCAGGCATATAGTAGGTGCTTAGAAATCCTTGTTGATGGATTGAATTAGTTCATCTTGAGGATCTATTTTTTTCCTCAACACTCCAGAATTCTGCTATTAACCTCTCCTTGATTAGCGAAGATCTGAATTCAACAAATATGTATAAAGTGCTTACTATGTAAGATATCAAATCAAATGATTAGATTATCTTAATGATAATTATCAAATGATTATCTTATTATGTAAGATATCTAATCAAATCCCTGTATGCTTTGGAATTTTGAGGCTAACTAATGAAACTCCATACTTTTTATGGTTGAAGTCACTTCACCCTGTTTGCCTTAGTTCCTCACCTGTAAAATGAACTAGAGAGGGAAATGGCAAACCACTCCAGTATCTCTGGCAAGAAAACTCCAAATGAGGTCATGGCGAGTCAGACACAACTAGAAAAAGACTTAACAACAACAACAAAGGTTTCTACCAGGTAGAGGTGAGGAGGCGGTATATTCCAGACATTGTGGGGCATGAGGGTAGGGAGACAGCTATGTAATGGTACACACATGTGAGATGGAACAGGAACAGCTAGCAGGCTGTTTTGACTCGAGGAGAAAGTCCAAGAAGAAGAGTAACATGGAATAAATCTGGCAAGTTACCTTAGGGTGAGGGGGACCTAGATCCAAGATTGGAAGGGCTCAGAGGCCATTTACTCCAGCACCTTCATTTTATGGAAGAGTAAACTGAGTAGGGAGGAGCCACGTTATGGTGGGCTTTAAATGCCAGGGTGAGAAGTCTATATTTGAACAAAGAGGCCAAACGGGGAGCTTCCAAAGATTTTTGCAGATTTAATTTGGCTCAAGGATGGAGACATAGCTCCTACCCTCTGTCTGCCTGTCTTGGGGGGAGACACAGTTACAAATCATCCTTTGGAGCTCTCCGACTGAGACAGGACAGAGGCCAGGCCAGGACACAGACTGTGGGGTCGGCTGGGGCCTGGTCCCTTTAGAGTGTGAGAGATCAAAGGCAAGGGACTGGAACAGGGCACCGGCATTGTTCCCAGGGAAAACAGACCGTCATTGTTCAGGATTTTCCAACAGTAGTGGAGATGGGGGCTGCCCCTTTGTCTCTCAGCAGGAAACAGCCTGGAACAGATAATGGTTGGAAAAGGTCTCTTCCCTGGACTGAGGAGCCCCACAGGGCAATGCGAAGACCTTGGAATGAGGAGCCTGGAGTTCTTATACTGCTTCTGTCACTGATTCCCTGTGCGAGCTTAAATATTTATTGAGCCATTGAAGTCCCTTCTACTCCCTGGTCCTCAGTTTCCCCCTCTGTAAAACAAGAGAGTTGTATTAGATGTTCTCTAAGGGCCTTCCAACATTCTACATCCTGAGATCCTGTCTAGCTCTGACACGCTGTGTTCTAAGGGCCCTCCCAGCTCTAGCATCCTATATTCTAAAGGCCTCTCAGCTCTGATATTCTGGTTTCTAAGGGCCCTCCCAGCTCTGACGTTCTGTGTCTTAGTGTCCTCCCAGCCCTGACATCCTGTGTTCTAAAGGCCTTCCTAGCTCTGACATTCCCTGTTCTAAGGGCCCTCCCAGCTCTGACATTCTCTGTTCTAAGGGCCCTCCCAGCTCTGACATCCTGTGTTCTAAAGACCCTCCCAGATCTGACATTCCCTGTTCTAAAGACCCTCCCAGCTCTGACATTCCATGTTCCAAGAGCCCTCCCAGTTTTGACATGTTGTGATTCTAATAACCCTCCATGGTGGGAAAGGCAGGACAGGGTTCTGAGCCTAGAATGCTACCTTGGGAAGCACATAGGTGTCTCATCTTTATACATGTTTCCTCCTTCTAAAGGCCAAATACTGTCTTTTTTAAAAGAAAAAAATAAACTAAAATGGTCACATTTTCCTTTGGAGATATTCTGTTCTATCTGCCATGGTCTGCCAATCATTCTGGCAATGTCCCGGGTCAGGGACTGGGTGGGAAGAGGAAGGAGCCGTGTTCCTAGGAGATAGCCAGGGCCTAAGCCCTTCCTGGAGCTGGGAAGGGAAGACATGGCCTTCCACTATCCAAAAGGTCACGTCTAATTGTAGTAACTCTGGCAAAGACCCATGAGAACAATCACAGAAGGAGCCCTGGAGGAGGTGAGCTTTGTATAAGATTTTTAACTAAGGGAGGCTAAGTGCCCACCTTCTGGTTTTCAAAGTCACTATTTAAAAGGTGAGGGCAGCTAGATGATATAGTGGATAGAGCACTGAGTCTGGAGTCAGGAGGATCTGAGTTCAAATCTGACCTCAGACACTTATTAGCTGTGTGACCCTGGGCAAATCACTTAACCCTGATTGCCTCAAAAAAAATTAAAACATTTTTAAAAACGTTGCCTTCACTTGGGCTCTATTGGTGGGTTCTTTCTATCCAAGTAAGCAGAGTCATCAAAGGACGATACAGAATTTGAAACTGACTCCTGACCGCTGACTGCCTCCCCTCCTTAAGATCTTGGGGCTAATGTCTGAAGCCAGAAGTTTCTTGTGCTGCCACTTTGTGGCCATTTCAGTTCAATTGTGCAAACAATGAAGTGCCCCCTCTAAAAGCGACCAGATCCGGGCAGCTAGGTGGTGCGGTGGATTGAGCACCAGCCCTGGATTCAGGAGGACCTGAGTTCAAATGTGACCTCAGACACATAACACTTACTAGCTGTGTGACCCTGGGCAAGTCACTTAACCTCATTGCCGAGCCAAAAAATAATAATAATAAATAAATAAAAGGGACTAGATGCAAAGACAGAAATGAGAAATACTTCTTGCTCCCAAGGAACTTACTTTCTAGCAGATACGATGCCCTACAAACCCAGCATCTATGAGAGGGAGAGCCGGGATCATAGCTCTAGAGCTCCAAGGGGGCCCCATCCCCTTATTTTATAAATGAGAAAACTGAGATCCAGTGACTTGCCCAAGGTCACTCAGGCAGTGAGCATCAAAGTGAGATTTGAACTCACATCTTCTGACTCCACGGCCAAGGGCTCTTTCTACTAGTTGGGTCCAAGTGTCCTCATCAATAAAATTCAGGGCGTTGGTTTAGATGGCCTGTGGTACCCTTCCTGTACCAGACCTGCATTCCTGTGAGCCTTTTCTGAACCTTAGACTTAGTTGCCCGATGCACTAAGAGTTTTACCGAATGCCCAGGGTCACACAATGCTTGTGAAATGAAATGATTTAAATATTTATTGAGTACCCACTCTCTGCTGGTGCCTGCTTATCAGGGCAGTAACCTTTCTGGGCTACTTCATTCTTTGTGTTAGCACACAGTAGGAGCTTAATCAATGCTTGCTGGCTGGTAGATTGATTTCTATCTTGGTCATTCATCATGCTCCTCTGATCTCATCTGATCTACGCAGCCTTGGGAGTGAGGCTGTGAGGCCTTAGTTTCTCTTCCCCATTTTACAGATTAGGAAACAGAAGGTCCCTGTGCCCTGCTTTGGGAAGTCACCTAGCTGGGGAGTGTGGGGACTTGAACACAGGTCTCCTGACCCTGCCA